AGCAGCCACTAGGTCAAGCCTGGCGCGCATGTGAGGACATTGGGACGGCTGCCACAGAACCAAGCGGCCAATAGGATAGCTGTTTGTAGAGTCAGCAACTGCACTCCGAACATTCCACTGTCTGGCAGTAATCAGCAGACTCCAATGAGGTAGTCTTCTAACTGAGGCTTGCAGCTGGAAGTAAAATGCTTCGTTATCGCGCTGTTCGGCAGCTGAAGTTGATGTGTACATGGAGACTCTATAGTGATATTCGTGAAGCGGCCCTTCAGTCACGCTTAGGCCATCGCGCCCTTGACTGGTTCCCAAGTGTGCACGGTTCGCTTGTTGCTAAAGAGCGATCGCCTCACTGTGTTTGCCAGAAAAGTCTCGTGGGCCGCTGTGAAGTGTGAATTGGCTCCCGTGATCTCTCTTTTCCCAAATGCCTGAGTCAAAAATTCGGCTTCAGACAGCTACTTTATACACACAGTTGTGGAGCCCGTTGGTTCCCGCGGACGCCGTAGAATTGATCGTAGTACTGTAGTCGGACATATTTTCGCGAGGTTTCCTAGGAATTGTGCGTACAGGAGAGACCTGAACAACCATTCGGATTGCACCTTCGAAGTTGTCTCGTCGTGAGTAAACAAAAGGACGTGACTTAAATGGCAGGCCGCTGAGCTCAAAAGCCAAATAAGTGCAAAGTTCGAATCTCCGCGTTCTCGGAACTGGCGTTCGGGTATGACCATCTGTCAATAGTGTGTCAGAAATGGCCATCTTCAACTCCTCTTTTCCTGATCCGTAATATTTATCCAGCTTCATTTTTTATACTAATACTTGATTGCCATCTTCGCGCCCTCATATGATCTGGTAAAGCTGGCCCCTAAGACGACAGTCCTGTTGTCCCTATTGCTATCAACTAGTTTGTTTCATGGTAACAGAACGGCAGACAATGCAGGTTCAAATAAAGTCGCGAGTTCCGTGCCAGAAGAAACGTATGACCCTTCCCCCTCATGGAACATCGGTTACTGCTGTATTCGTTTGCCAAACATCCTGTCATTCTGCCGAATTTGCTGAACTTTAAAATCCCTTGGTCGCCCCTATTCCTCCTTACGCTCTGACTCTCTTCATTATTCCCCTCCCCCTAGTTTGTAAGTGACATGAAGCCGGGAAACCAGCGTCCCGAGACATCAGACAGCAAGTCTCAGAAGGCCCAGGACAGGAAGCGAGTTGCGAAGGGGCAGAGCAGACCGGGTCTCGTCCAAGACAGTGAGCAAAATAGACTCGTGGACAATGGGTTCTGCCTCAGTATGCATCAGCCATGGGCTTCTCTTCTGGTGCGTGGCATAAAAAAGTACGTTGCATGTCTGTTTCCTTAGCCCTGGCCTTTGTTTCTTTCTGCTCTCTCTTTCTCGCTTGCCATATTTTACTCGTTGCTACTGACGATTATGGTGGCGGTAATGTTGATGATTATGAAGGCGGCTGGCATTGTCTTTTTCAGAGATGAAGGACGGACCTGGTACTCCGCCCATCGCGGCCCCCTGTGGATAGCTGCCGCGGCCAAAGTGCCCGAAGATTTCGAAATACAGGCTGTCGAGGAAGAGTGTCTAAGCCACGGTACGCCAGGTTCATGCTTTTTTTTGCTTCTTTTGGCAACGCATCATTTCGCAGCTATCGACTCCTTGTTGAATATTTTACATTCTACCTACTGTAGTCATTTGAGTAGCACTGTTTTATAGGCTTCACTTGGGTTAGGTTATTTCTCTACATTTTTCTCATTCACCCTGGCGTTATGCTGGAGACGGTCTACCTGTCTTCGTCGGACACAAACTTGGGTCGTTTCCTTTACTTTCGCGGTTCACTCGCTTAGGT